GGATTCTAAGGTTGTGGAATGGACTTTGTTGGCATCCTGGCGGAGGAATCTAAAAAGGCTCCGAAAATAGCCTCGATGCTTTAGGTTTCCCGAAGGGTCCATGTACCCAATAATTAGGTACTTGGGTTTCGGGTAATAATAAACAAGGAATTGGTTTTGGGTAAGTATATGATGATTAGGTACTTGGACCCTTAGGGTTTAGGGTTTTGGCTCAGCAAGCCTGAATTCATTGACTCCAGCATACTGGCAAATCATAACTTCCAATGAATGCCAATGAATACGGCACTTTGGGTATCCAGTGACTTTGTAGGCTGGAAGGCACCAAGTAGGTATTGGCTAGGGGGCCTAAGGTTTAGAACTAACGATGCCTAGCGCGCTAAACCTACCCCTAAACTCTAAACCCTAGACTCGTTAAACCCTAAACCCTAAACTCTAAACCCTAAACCTGTCAAACCTGTGAAGCCCTAAACCCCAAACCTGTTGGGGGATGTAGAACCCTAAGCGTCCAAGTACCTAATGATCATATACTTACCCAAAACCAGCACCATAATTACTATTACCCAAAGCCCAAGTACCTACCAATTGGGTACATGGACCCTTGGGGGAAGCCAGGAATGGCGGTCTCTTGTTTGTCACGTGGATTTAGTAGCTCGGGGGCGCTAGGAGCGCAGTCCGTAGACCCAAATGCAGTTTTCTGAAGAACAGGGTGGCTGAAGGGATCCCAGGCACATATGAGCTACTGTCTAAACTCCTAGTATCCCCCTTAATAACCCCTGTAGTAGTCCCCTATATTATATAACCCCCTTTAGGGAGTTTAGACTATAGCTCATATATGGTTTACAAGGCTTAGAGTTTAAGGTTTAGGGACTATGGAAGGACTATGGAGATCCGTACTACGGGATTCAAGAAGGGTAGTTGCAAGGGCGTGTCTTGACTACGTCAAGACATCAAGCTCCAGCGGAACTTGCCCTAAATCCAGAAGCCTAAACCCTAAACCCTTGTTTCAGCTGCTGATTCCTGCACCGGCAAAGCTGCTGCCCTAAAAGCTGCTGGCACATGGACTTCTGCAGCTTGGCAAGTCATCGAAAGCTACAACACGTGTAAGAGAAGTCAGACTGGGACCATCTGCTTCTGGAGCAGCTGCTGCAAGTCGAAAGCCTCTGCTGGCTTGTTCAGATTGACACATGACCTGCTGCAAGTGGTCCAGCCAGGAAACAGGCTTCGAGAAGTCAACTCTCATTTACTTGTGGGGGTGGCTGTCTGCTTGTTGGTGTATGCCGCTTCTTGTTGTGGATAGAGCTGGTAAGCCCTAAACCCCAAAATTTCAGAAGCTCCGAATTCCGACAGGCACCGCAACCCACAAACCCTTTGTTCACTTTGAGTCCAGGGTTTACAAGGGTTTAGGTTTTAGGGTCCACATAGGCTCCCAGTGCGTGTTTAGGGTTTATAGTCCAAAAACTTGAATCGCAAAAACTCACCTCACCTCGAATCACGTTACCCAGAGAGTTCAACAACCCTAAACCCTAAACCCTAAACCGTGTATGTGACCATGAGGTCCTGGGGCCCTGAGTTGATGGCAGTCAATGTGCTTGTTGCGAAAGGCGGATTCAACAAGTAGTTATCACAGTTTAGGGTTTAGGGTTCAGGGTTGAGGGTGTAGTTTTTGAAGTTAAGTCCCCCTGCACATTTGTTCGATTTGCTACAGGCCAGCGTAAAATGCACAGCAAATTTCTAAGAACAGACACGGGGTTCTTTATAGTTTCAAGAACTTGGGTGGCCAAAGCAACTCCCAAGACAAAAGGGAAGCCATTGAGATCAGCATGAGGTTTTTTCAGGTCGCAAGCCATAGGACTTTGGAACGGCAATGTAGCGGCCCCGAAAATTGAGAATTCATAAACTGTGTACGTATATATACATATATATATATGTATATATATATATGAACATGTGTCACTAGCACCTGACTCGAATAAGTTAGGCCGTTGCGTCCCACACCCATGCTAGGTATTCCGACAACTCCCAACCCAACCTTTACTACGCCTATTCTACTTCCTGAATTGTCCCTTTAAAGCAAGATAGAGGGGTCCACAAAGTGAGCGGCCCCAATACAACAGTACCAAATATACAATAACCCATGTATTTGTGCTTCTCAAAACGAGCCCATATTAACCTGTAGGTACCCAATGTTAGGATGAGGATGGCTTTTAGCGCTGAACATAGGGTTTAGGGTTTAGGGTTTCGGGGTACAATCTGAACATGAATCAAAGGGTGTTCTTTCGGTGTGAAGCGCAACAACAAACAGGCATCGGATCTTGCTCCATTTTGGGACATTGGGGACTGCATGCTGAAATCATTGAGACTACTGCGCCTATACGCCTACACACCAAAAATTTGGGATCTCTTCCCCTAAGCCCTAACACTAAGCCCTAAACCCTAACCCTAAAAACCTAAACCCTCAACCCTAAAACCATCTTTGGGAGTTGGGGATCAGGAAGCCTTCTTTTTGGGCCGTTTGCGTCTGTGTAAAACCACATCCCTAAACACCAATCTGTGGTGACACCTCTTTTTTGTGACCTTTGAGTGATGTACAGCTTCGGGTTTCGAAGTTTAGGGCTTTTTGTTTGAGGTTGAGGCTTTAGGCTAGAGAGGCTTCACAAACATACTATACCCTGCTAATCACGTCACTGCAACAATAGCACCCCCCTTACAATACTCCCTGCCTCTGTATCTCAATACATACATATATATACATATATACACATGTAAGAACTCTGTTGGAAACACTAGGTTGGGGGGGGTATCATGAGGTATCATATGTATCATTAGGGCAAGTGCTTTGGTATTTAGCATCGTGGAGGCACTAGTTCGCGCATCAAATAAAAAATGGAGCCCCAGACCCTGACCCAACCCTAAACCCTAAACACCCTAGCCTCCTAATCACGAATCTCTAGACCCTGACCGCATATGAGCTATAGTCTAAACTCCTAGTATCCCCCTGAATACCTCCTATAATAGCCCCCTATGTAAACCCCCATATAACCCCCTTTAAGGAGTTTAGACTATAGCTCATGTAAGACCCCACTCCGATACCTCCCCTAACGCTCTCCTCTCCTCTTGCTAGTATTCAAAATCCTGCATGACCTGATGATACTGAAGAAAGCTTATGGGCTTCGGGCTTCAAATTCAAGAATCCCTGCGTATCCACTAAGCCTTTCAAAGACCACATGCGGGGCCTTTGCTTTCTTGGCGGCTTTGATCGCACCCGGAGCAGCACCCTTGGTGCTTTTTCTACTACCTAACCTAGACCCCCACATTCTACTCTTTTTTGGGGGTACTTGGCTGTCTAGACCACGAAATTAGGTACCCCAAATTGGGGGAGGCTAGAGTACAGTATAGGGGTCTAGGTCGTTTTAGGCCCCATTTTCCAAGACCCTCCCTATACCCGTTATTAAGGTTCAAGGGTTTCTGACACTAGGTACATAAGCGTGGATCTAGGGTAGTTGTAGAGCCTAGTTTTGGGGTGCTTACCACTCTACCTGTTATGAGGATTTGAACAAGATTTTGGGACTCTGTGCTTCAGCCTTACTAGAAACTTCAGGGTTTTTGGGTTTGGGGTTTTGGGTTTGGGATTAGATCCTAGAGTGCAGAATTGAGGCCCGGGGACATTCCAGGACGCCCAAGTAGCCTTAAAAGAGATCCATGTTGGTCCTCTTGGTGGGTAGTTGGGCTTCGTAATCTCCAAACCCTAATCTCCAAACCCTAATCCCCAAACCCCATATAAGCCTAAACCTTACTTATACCCTAAACCCTGAACCCAAATCTATTTATCCTTATCCCCAGTATCCCTCTTCGTAAGCCCTATAGTTGTTCCGTATATAATCCGCTATATATAACCCCCGTTAAGGAGTCTAGATTATGGCTCATATATCCCCATACACCCTTTAAGAGGACTTGCTGTATCCACCATGTCTTGGTCCGAGCTGCGAGGACGCCAACTGCACCACCAAACCTGCTTTTACTACTCGGAGGTTCAGGTCAGGGCTTAGGGTTCAGGGTTTCGGGGCAATCATAACCAAATAAGTTTCAGGTTTAAGGAGTAGAGTTGGGGTTTAAGGTGTGGGGCTAGGGTTTATTCAGGGTTTAGGCTTGGGGTTGTTCTACACCCCACATCGTTTTGCGTGAATGAAACATTGTTAGCCCTCACTCTCAAGCCCCAAACCCTAAACCGCCTACATAACCTGGATGATTTGGAGAGTGGTAGGGGAAGGCATGAGACTAGGGGGCAAGCACGACTCAGCACAACGAAGGATCAGAAAGTTTAGGGTTCAAGCGTAGGATTTTGGAGTCTGGGTTCCTAAAGCCCTCCCTAAAACCCTAAACCCCCTAAGAGCTTAGGATTTTGGGGTTTAGGCTAGGGTTTAGGGTTTAGGCCTAAACCGTAGACCCCGTAAAATAATGGCCCAAAACGCCTGAACCATTGCCCAAAAGACCAGTATCTTACATACTTTAGGAGTGCAGGTTTACGACACAGATTCAGGATTGAGGTTTTGCAGTCAGGTTCAGGATCTGGGGTTTAGGATTCTGCGCTTAGGGTGCAGTAAGGGTTTAGTCTTGGATTCTCGAAGATGTAGGGTTCAGAGTGGCTAGACTGATACGGGGTTTTCGTTGGCGACATTACCAGCTTCAAAAGTTTTACCTTGTGCCCCTCCGCCCATAGCCATATGTACAAGGGACCCCTTACCAACTCCCCTGAAAAAATGAAAATCTTCACGCTAGTTACCAACGAAAAGAATCGTTTTTCAGAATGCTTGTTGAACTCCAAACCCGTCAAAACCGGAAACTCAACTCTAGAGCCTCAACTCTAAAGCTTGAAGTGGAACCTCCTGCAGGTAAATTTCAGAACAGCAGCATACCGCCCAGGGCGCCAGCCGTGCTGCCCACGGCCCCTACAGCACCGCCTGCTGCTCCCAGTACCATGGCGACAAAGGCTCAGCCCCACGCAGGCCGGCGCAGACGAAAACTGCAAGTTCCTTGAACCCTAAGGGTCCAAGTACCTAATAATCATATACCTACCCAAAACCTATACTATGATTACTATTACCCAAAACCCAAGTACCCAATTATTGGGTACATGGACCCATTGGGGAAGTGTTGGGTCAAGGTTTCCCCTGGGGCTCTTCAGTGGATAAACACTACCTGTCTTTGGCCCCAAAAAAAAGGTAGGAAGAATTGTCGTCGTCGTCGTCGTCGTCGTCGTAGTAGTAGTAGTAGTAGTAGCAGTAGTAGTAGTAGTGTTAGTAGTAGTAGTAGTAGTAGTAGTAGTAATAGTAATAAGAATAACCCATTGTAATAGTACTAAACCCTAAACGCTAAACCCTACTAGTCCATAAACAATACCTACCTTGGGATAGCTGGAGTTTCGGAGGTTGGCTGTCATTTCTTCTTGCCGCGGCTGGCCTAAGATGGCGTATACGTGATTCAGGGTTTTAGGTTTAGCTTACGAACTACGTAAAGCTGACATGGGTCCTTACAAGACAATATAGTCGGGACTACAGTAAGCCAAGGAACCCTTTTTCATATCCACTCCTACTGTAAGGGTCCATATGCGTATGCTAGCCATGGCCAACAGCGCATGGTAGTTCTGAATCTTCCCTCCAATTCTCCCCAAAAATATTTTCGGCCGTGTATTGTAGGGGGTTGAAGGTGGCTTATAACAGGAACAGTCAGCCCTAAACCTTGTACAGGTTTCAAAGTTCGTTCTCTTGGGCGGTATAACTACATCTTGTGCTTCCTGCGCTAGATGCTGGCCGCAGACCCAAACTAGAGCGAGGCCATTTGCAACGAGCTTGTTTTGCTTGAGCACGTCGATGCAGACAGACCGAAGCAATATCATCGGTTGCACGTTTGCACGGTCTAGCCTACTTTCCCGCGCGAAAACGCTACCCATCGATGGAACCAGGTCTCGTTCATCAACACCTTGCTTAAATCCACTCCCATGCTGATGGGCAATTCCCTGGAGATCTAAGTCTACAACTAATACCCACTTTGGGCCCTGAAGTCTGAAAAATCTACCAATTGTTTACTGCTTCGGGGGCTGGAAGCTCCTTCTGAATTTCCGGGCTGGGATTCGTTGTCTAAATCCTACCACCCTGTGCGAATCCCAGGGCTTCGCGCGGGTAGATGTCCGTAAGTTTGGTCCCGACCACGACCAGGATGTTGAGCGGTACCTGGCAAGTGTCACCTGAATCATAAGCTTCAGGTGTGGGGAGAAATGGCACTCCTGTCATACAGAGATGGTAAGGGGATGGCAAAAATTCACGCTTCTGCACGGTACAGCTTAAGTAATACCATCATGAATATCATCAGGATTATTACTACTATTACTATCATTACTACTATTGCTATCATTCGTATTGTTACTATCATGAAAGAATTCCTGTTATCATTAATAGGCTGCGTTGTAGGCCAGGGAGTGGAGCCCCCTTCAATGAGCGGTACTTTCAAGGCTCTCAAAACTATTTCTGAATAAGTTTCCCTACACGGCAACAAAGGAAATGCTTAATCAAGTATCCCAGGCTGCCATCTATCTAGTTCAGCCGTTTTTGCAGAATTTGGGAGGGTTCGTTTGATGCCCCGTCCTATGGACTGTAGTGTCTCTGGCTTTTCACCTAGGCCCCAAACCCGTGACTTCAGCCAGAATTTCTGCAGGTTTAGTGTTGAGGGCGTCTGTAGGGTTTGTGGTTTGGAGCGTGAGTTCGGGCTAGGATATCGCTTGTGGGTAGAGTCTGGGGAATTAGTGCGTGGATGCGGTTTGGAGCTTAGGGTTTGGTAGGCTTTGGGATTTGGGGCTCAGGATTTGGGGCTTGCAGTTTAGCGCGTAGACATGGTTAACGAAAAGACACATTTGATGCAAACTGAATCCTAAACACACCGCTACGCCTCAAGACTTCCCGGTGCAAGGGCCAAATCGTGCTGCAACCTGTTTCTGTATGCGACACATCTGAGTAGCGTTTTCTTGATGGTTGATCCTAGTAAGACTATATTCCTTAAAGCAGAATATTATACCCAAGAGGAGGATATTCTGTTTACTGCATTCTAGGTACCATAGTACCCACACATAACATGCTGCTCATCTGAAGCTGTGACAATAGCAATCGACTGACCAACACGAAAAAAACAAGGTACTGCCTACGCCGCACACTGCTAATGCCGCAGTGCTAGACCCTAGGGCTCCAAATCTATTAACAAGACATACATTGCCCCCAAAATCTATGAATAGTACCTACCTCGGGCTATTTGGAGCCCTAGGGATAATGAGGACTTTACAGATAACCCTAGATTCGTACGTTTAATATGGATCCATGGACTGGGCCTTTGTTAAAAAATACTGCCTATGGGGGCATGCGGCTACTTGGAGCCCGAGGGAGAAGCTTGGAAAGATTCACCCTGAGCCCAATCCCCTATAGGGTTTAGGGCTTAGCGTTCTGGGTTTAGGGTCTCTTTTTTAGGGGCCCTATATCCCTAACTAAGGGTACTAGGAGGGGGTCTTGGTACTTCCAACCTGCAAAACCCTCATCCTAGGCTTTCAGCCCAGAAACATGAAGGATAGGTAAAAAAACCTAAACCCTACACCAGATATCCTACACGCTAAACCCTAAACTACGAAGGCGCCAGTACACCCCAAAAACTGTAATCCCCAGAAGTGAAAGAAAGCCCAGGATTTTTTGCTTGGGGTTTAAGCCCTAGTCCAAAGTCCAAGAACCTTTCCCCCGAACACTTGTCGGGGGGAATGCAGCCCTGATCCCTTCGATTCCGACTCGAGGACCCCAGACACTTCATGAGGATCTTCCCAAATCCCCCAGAAGCAGGGCTGTAGGACCAACGCTAGACCCTTCTAATCCTGTGCTTTTGGGGCGGCTGTAAGCCCTCGAAGCATCGATGGCGGTGCCCTGAAGATGTTCATCACACTGCCCTGGATGGAGTCTGGGATCACCTGGTTTGGGTCTTTATGGGTTTAGGGTTTAGGGATCGCTGGCTCAACAAGGGATACATTATCTAGGGGTCATTTAGGGGTCATATTCCTATATTCCGCACTAAGAGCCGGTAAGTTTTTGGACTTCGTGTCTTAAAGGCGCCACCAACTCTGAATCCTAAACCTTAGACTGTGTGGCACCATACATCACTGATATCCTTGTGTGCATCCGTTGGGTCCCCAAAGCCCTACACTAGACGGAGACAATCCTACAGTCCTACAGGACTTAGGATCCCCGAGCTC